AATTCAGTGGGACCCATGCTTTGTTGAAATGATATTACGTAGGGGCAGCTAGGTGGTGCAGTGCATAGAGCACCGGCCCTGAAGTCAGGAGGACCTGAGTTCAAATCCTCCCTCAGACCAAACACTTGACACTTACTAGCTGTGTGCCCCTGGGCAAGTCACTTAACCCTAATTGCCTAAAAAAAAAAAAAGCAAAGCAAAGATATTAAGTCTGTGCTCACTCCCCATCTCCCAGAGACTGAAATGGTATGATGGGGACAAGAGAAAGGTAGGATGCTATATCTTTAAAAGAAATATCACTTTGTAAAAGTTGAGTGATGCTAAATGGGTAAATGGACCTGGGTGCCAGTCATCGGTGCCTAACAGTGGGGAAAACCACACCCAGTATGGGGGCTCCAGCTGATAGCATTAGTGGAGAGGCAGACACCTTCCCCCCTCAGGGATTTCTTTAGAACCCTGAAAACAAAATGTAGTCAGGCTCACTCTGGAAGACTGAGGCCAGAGAGTACTTTCTAGATACACTAAAACACTGGTCTGACCATGCCAGCTCCTCAGGAAGCTTCAGTGGCTTTCGCTTGTCTCGTGGATTAAATACACACTCAACTCCTGTTTGACTTTTAAGCCCTTCACATTCTGGCTCCAGCTTATCGTTTCAGAGTTATTGCACATTTCCCTTTATACAGCCTACAGTCTTGCCAAGCCAGCACGCTTACTACTCCCTTTATATAATATTGTATCTCCTGTTCCCATGTCTTTGTATAGGCTCACTCTCATACTTGGAATCCCTTGTAACCTACACCTCACAGAAACCCTAGCTTCTTTAAAAATGCAAGGCAGGAAATTTCATCCAGGAAACCTCTCTTTTTTCCAGTTTTCATTTCTCCAGCATCCTTCTACCTCTAGCTCAGTGCCTGATATATAATGGGTATTTAATAAATGCTTGTTCAATGAATTTAATGTGTAGGTCACAGTTGAAGGCTGTTTAGCCTGGCGAAATATTTAGCCTGGGGATTTTTAACTTTGGCAAAAAGAAGAGTTGGGAGAAAAAAGGATGGGAAAGCTATCTTGAAGTACTTGAAGAGTTGTCACGTCAAAATTAGACCTTTTTTTCTGTTTTGTCCCAAGAATAACTAGGAGAAATGAATGGGAGCTACAAAGATGCAGATGTTGGCTCTGTTATAAAGAAAAACTTCCTAATAGAGATGTCCAAAAATGAACTAACCTTAGGAAGCAGCTGGTTCCCCCTCTCTTGAGCTCTTCAAGCAAATGTTTGGAAGTTCACTTGTCAGGTATTTGGTAGAAGGAATTTTTATTCTGGCACAGGCTAGACTAAATTACCTCTTGGATTCCTTCCAACTTGGAATTCTGAAGGTTGCAAATCATTTACCTTTTCTCCAACGAGGAGCCATCTTATCCACTCCCACAGACTGTCAAGACCAACCCAGGGCATGGTGACATGGACTTTTAGAACGTACTCCTTCCTCCCCTCCATTTCTTAGGATCACTAGTTTCCTTTCAAGCTCAGATTACTGATTGGCCTGGTATAGTTGATCCGTCATTTTAGTCATGCCTGACTCTTTGTGAGGCATTTTTTGGTTTTTTTGGCAAAGATACTGCAGTGGTTTGCCACTTCCTTCTCCAGCTCATTTTACAGATGAGAAAAGTGAGATAAACAGAGTTAAGTAACTTGTCCAGGGTCATATAGCTAGTAGGCCAGATTTTAACTCATGAAGATAAGTCTTCCTGATTCCAAGCCTGGCTCTCTATCCATTGTACCACCTAGTCCCAGACTGGGCTAGATGATAATACAGTTAGGAGGAGTCAGAACTGGAAAAAAAGAAGTAGTAAAGAAAATCAGTAAAAAGTTCATGCTCACCTTGTCAAGAGGTCACCACTGGAATACCCTGAGCACCTTTGGTTGGCCCTATACTGCTGAACACTTTTATCAGTCACATTCATCAAATCTCCAGGTCACAAAGCTTAGAGAAAAAGCCAAAACACAGAAAACAATCAAGATCCCAAAAGATCTCGATAGGCCACAGTAATGGACTGAATCTAGGATGAAAATCAATAAAAATAACTGGAAGGTTGTGCTCCTGGGTATAAAAAAATCAGCTTCACCCATGCAAAATGGGAGAGACAAAGCTAGACAGCAGTTTATCTGAAAAAGATATAGATGTTTTAATGGGCTATAAGCTCAATATGAGTTCCTCATATGACAGTCAAAAAAGCGCTGTAGTCTTGGGCTCATTAAGAAAGCTCGATTCCAGGAATCAGAAGGGATAGTCTCTCTGGCCAGATCTCATCTGGAGTATTTTGTCCAGTTCTGGGCACTTCAGGTTTCTGTTGTTGTTGTTTTCATTTTTTTTCCAATTATATGTAAAGATAATTTTTAACATTCATTTTTACAAAATTTTGAGTCCCAAATTTTCCTCCTTCCCCTCTCCCCTTCCTAAAAGGGTAAGCAATTTGATACAGGTTATATATACTTGGCACTTAGTTTTAAGGACAGGCTGGAGAGCCTTTGGAGGAAGGCAGCCAGGATGGTAGGACCTTGACTCCAAGTGATGTGAATATCAATTGAAGGAAGTGGAAATGGGTAGGACATGATGGCTATCTTCAAGCATCCAAAGGACTGTGATTGATATAGGAGGGGAAGGAGATTTTTATTTATTTTGGCCCCAGAGGGCAGAATCAAGAGCAATTCAGTGGTAACAGCAAAAAAGACTACAAATTTAGGCTTGATGTCCAGAAAAACTTCCCAATAATTAGAGCTATCCAAAAGTGGAATGGCCTGCCTCCAGAGATGATGGTTTCTCCTTCTTTGGAAGTCTTCAACCAAAGACTGAATGACTCCTTGTCAGGTATATTATTTGTAGTCATTCTTTTCATACTTATTTCGTCTATACTTTATGGAGGGTGTTCCAAAAGTCTTAGCATAGATTTAAACTATTAAAGTTTTCCTTTCTTCAATACCCTACCCTTCTCTTCCATATCTTCCCCTTCCCTTCCCTTGAAGCTTTAATAAAAGCTTAATACTGCACTAAGTCTTTTGGAACACTTTGTATATGTACTTGTCTTCCCAGTTAGGAGAGGCAGTAAACTTCTTGAAAGTTGGTTTCACACCTATTAGATTGGCCAACATGACAAAACAGGAGAATGACAAATGTTGGAGAAGATGTGGGAAAATTGGAATATTAATGCATTGTTGGTGGAGTTGTGAACTGATCCAACCATTTTGGAGAGTAATTTGGAACTGTGCCCAAAGGGCTATAAAAATGTGCATACTCTTTGACCCAGCAATACTACTTCTAGGGCTATATCCCAAAGAGATCATACAAATGGGAAAAGGACCCACATGTACAGAAATATTCATAGCAGCTCTTTTTGTGGTGGCAAAGAATTGGAAATTGAGAGGATGCCCATCAGTTGGGGAATGGCTGAGCAAGTTGTGGTATATGAATGTAATGGAATACTATTGTTCTATAAGAAATGATGAACAGGCGGACTTCAAAAAACCTGGAAAGACATGTATGGACTGATGCTGAGTGAAGTGAGCAGAACCAGGAGAACGTTGTACACAACAACAGCCACTAACTTTGATAGACTTAGCCCTTCTCAGCAATGCAAGGATCTCCAAAAGTCTCATGATGGAAAATGCTATCCAGATCCAGAGAAAGAACTGTGGAGTTTGAATGCAGATCAAAGCATACTATTTGCTCTTTTTTTTCCGTTTTGTTTCCTTTCTTGTGGTTCCTCCTATTGATTCCTTACAATATGAATAATGTGAAAATACATTTAATGGGAATGTTTTTGTAGAGCCTATATCAGATTGCATGCCATCTTGGGGAAGGAGGCGGGGTGGGGGAGAAAAATTTAAAACTCAAAAGGGTATGGAAGTGATTGTTGAAAACTAAAAGTAAATTAACTTTTTAAAAAAAATTGGTTTCACTTTTTTGTATCCCTAGCACCTACCACAGTACCCGGCATGCATACAGTAGGTGTTTTTCCACTGATATTACAGCAGGGAATCTTTTCACACATGGGTTGGACTGGATGACCATGGGGTTCCCTTCTCACTCTCAAACTCTTGTGATTGATCCAATTCAAATACTGCTTATGATGCCAAGAATCACTGTGATACCCTGTACCCTCCTCACAAAGTAGTACACACCATGGATTAATGACCAATATCAGTCAAGTTTAGATGCAATGTATGTCATCAGTATGTTTCATACTATACAGCTCTAGAACGTACTCTTTCCTGTGTACCGACTTTTAAAGAATTTTTCTAAGGCCTTAACCCCATAAAATTCATACCCAAATATCATGATGATTTTTACTGCATGCATCTGCCCTAATGGTTGACACAAGAGATGTCAACATTTTACTGCCTCACAAATATCAGCTGCCATGTAGTAACACTGAGTTTTTCAGAGTGACCACTCTATTGCAGCTTGGGCAAAACTACCAGGTGTTTCTAGGCTCAGTAAGATGATTCACAGCTATACTAAGCTCCTGGGGATAGAGCCTAAAGCTGTGACTTCATTAATAGTAATGTGTTGGTAAATTAATAAAAAAGAGAAATACATAAACATGTGATCTTCTAAGTCAACATGTAGCCTACAGGGGTCCGCATGTACAGTTTAGTGGCCCCCATTTCTATTTGAGTTTGACACCACTGACCTGGTGCGTCAAGTCGTCAAATACTTTGTCCAGGGTCACACACCAAGATGGATCAGAGGCAGAAGTTAATCACTGATCTTCCTGGCTCCCAGGTCAACTCTTAAATCATTACTTTATGGCTGCCTCCAAACCCTTGATGTTTCAAAATTTAATTTCCCTAATTGCTGGAGGCTTCATGCCACAAAAGAAGTTTCTGCCTTTGTTACCTTCACATTTCCTTCCCTGCTCACTTCCTGAGCACAGATGCGTACCATCTTTCATTATTGGATATTACTCCCTAAAGCCTTCCACCAATCCCCAAATAAGCACAAACACATAGGCTCATTCTTTAATTGTTCATCATAACCTAATTCAACATCAACACCTCCTCAGGGACGCTGCCGGTTACCAGCACTGGCACAGTGCAGAAGCTAAGGCTTCTTGCTCTTTTGTGGCATTTTGAAAACCATCATGCAGTCTTCATGGGCAGAAGATGAGCAACAGCTTACACCAAATGGGTGTCAGAGGTAAAAAGGTGATGATGCAATGATGCCCAAAGTACCAAGGGGTGCATATTAAAAACCCTTCAGGGAGGACGCTATTGCAAAGTGACCTCTGGAGAGCCTAGTATGTTGGTTGTATGGATATCTTTAATGCCTGTAGAAGTTACAGTCCCTAAATGTGCCTTAGATAAACTAAAGTCTCCTGCCCCACCCCCCCAAACAGACAATTAACACTAGCTTTTTTTTTTTTGAGGATAATAGGAAACCTGCCTTCCTAAGGTCCAGTGGAAAACAAGGGGTGGCGCTAGACAGGCAGGGAAGAAATCTGTGCATATTGCTGCTTTGATAACTCACTTGGGACAAGGGAGTTATAGGAATTAAAAAGGGAGTTCCAGAAATACTGGCTATGGTGGTAACATTCCTGCCAAAGCTTCTTCCTGAGTCTGCTACAGCCAAGCTTGAAGTAGGACTGGGGCCATGCAATTTCCCAGACTTTTGGACTCTGGATCCTGGGCTATCTCCAAAGTCCAAAGGGAGATGGTGGTGGTTTAACCCACCTGAAACATGGTGCCTCCTGTCTGTCTGGCCAGGCTGGCTTGTCTGCCCTGTTGGTGGCAGCTGGTTGGTGATTGGTGGGAGAGGATGGCAGGCTCCCCTCTTCCATAAGGTTTGTTTTCCTGGATGATGGTTCTGGGCCAGGCTGAGAGCAGAGTTGATGGTTTGGAGGGAACACTACTGTTCCTGGGGATCAGTCATACCCCTGATATTCTTGGCTTCATTGTGATTAAAGTGAATTAATTTATAAGAGCTGAATAATATTATGAACATAATTGAATACCCAGCTTTTCAATAGGACTGTTTCAAACAGAATATTTATGCCATATGGATGTATGAAATATCTTCCCACTGCTGCATATTAATTTGCCTCACCAAAAGGATGATTAACAAAGGAAAAAACTGGAACAGAGGAAGAGGAAAGTTAATCCAATGCTACTGGAGATATTTAAAAAGCCAGGCACTGGAAGTATTAGGCTTGAATATGAAAATGGATACTTATTCCCTCAAAGCATCCAGACAGATGAGCCAGATGCTGGCAAAGAGTGATCAGAGAACAATGACCAGCAGCAGTGATGAGATGATGACTCCATAATACTTAAAATAATTTACGACAGAAACACAGAAACAGGAAGCTACGAATAGAAGAGAAACAAGACAGACAAAAGATAATCTCTCTAAACCAAGGGGTTCTGCTATCTGACTCTCTTCTAAAGCATAAAGCTCGCTAGCAGCCCTGGAGATTTTAGCAAGAAAATACCACATGGGTTTCAGAGAATGTTTTGCCCAAAGGATATACGCATTCAATCAGCAGAATATGATTCTTTAAACACACCACTGAGGTGTTCAAAGATCAAGCAAGCTACTTCCCTGTATTCTGTTACTGCAGTGAGATTTCAAAATAACCCTAGAAGAACCAGAGCCCAAGCTCTGGCAACTCCTTCAAGCTCTACACTGTAAAGGCTTTATGAGAAGGCCCAGCAATGAATGAACTTTGTTGTCTACTGTCCAAGGTAAGCACCAACTTGGTTTTATGTTTGAGGGGGGCCTATCACCAGAATGTTGGCCTCTAGGACTCAGAGGTGGGGAACCTGCAGCCTTGAGGCCACATGTAGCCTTCTAGGTCCTCAGGTGCAGCCCTTTGACTGAACTTGAGGACCTAGAGGGCCACATGTGGCCCCGAGGCCTCGGGTTCCCCACCCTACCTAGGCAATGGATTTTCTTTTTAAGTACAGCAACCTCACTAAGACCCACAGAAAAGTGTGGAAAGGCTATGATCTGCATCAGTGGACAATAACTGACAAAAGCACAGATCTTTTGAAATATTAAAATACTGACTCCAAAAGTCCCTTGGGACATACATTGTAGTTTTAACAAAATTACCGCTGATTCTAAAACTACATGCAAAAAAAGTTTTTATTAAAAAATATCTAGAAAAATTAGTAGGCAACATGTTCTCTTATATTATTAGTAGCAGATAAAGAACACTCCCAAGCAAGTGCCGTTGGCTGCTTAATTGAGAGCAGAGTAATAACAGCAACCATGCCAGCCCCTATGGTAAGACCAAGAAATAAACTGACAGGGGAAGGTGGAAGCTCCTCCAAGGGCCATGGGACTAGCAGTAGCCTAGGCCCCTAGTCAAACAGTGGCAGGTAAAGAAGAGGCTCAAGAATTGAATCTGAGTGAGGAGGAACAAATGGGAAAAAGAGATGATTCAACTTAATTCTACTCAAGATGAAAAAAGTCACAATCCCTGCCCTTGAGAGGCTTGCAGTCTAACAGCAGGGACAAAAGATATACAAATGAGTATTATACAAGAGTTAAGAGTTAAAGCTGGGAGGGAAACACTGGGATTATCTAATAGGATTCTTCTCATTTAAATGAAGGTGTGGTCCAGAAGTCAGTGGTCCAAGTCAAATGACTTGATCAAGGTCATACAGCTGACAAGAGCTTGAAATTAAGGTTCTGTGACTCTAAATCTAGCGCTCTTAGAATGGGAAAAGAGCAAAAGAGATCAGGCAAAGTGTTCTAGAAAATGGAAGAGAGAAATGACTTTAAGCTGGTGGGTAGTAGCAGAATGTTTCTTGGAAGAGGTAGCACCTAAACTAGGCTCTAGAGGGAGAAGGATTTCAATAAATGGAGATGTGTATGGAGTCCATGGAGAAGGCCTGGAAAAATGCACAGAGCTAAGAGCTAAGCAGTTACAGAACAAAATCAGGAAGAAAAAAACCCCCAAAAGATCAGGAATAGCCAGAAGTTCAGAAACTTCAACTGAAGAGAAGAAGAAATGATCTCAGTGGTAACAAAGTGATTTCAGGCAAAGTAGCAGGAAGATTCAGATAATGGGGTGGTGAAGTTTGGATGAAAGGGAGATAGCAGAGGGAAATGAAGTTAGTTAAAAAAAAAACTTCCTCTTCTAAGATGTTTTCCTTAACTTGTCGCATCCTATTCAAAGGGCTACCTCATTTGACCTCACCCCAGATAGGCAAGAAGAAGAGACTAGTTACATGAGGCAGAAAACATACAGGGAGGAACTACACTCCATTTTCCCCACTGCCTCTTCTTCCTCAAATACGCTGTCCTGTACCTTTGCTCAGCTACTCATTTCTATTCCAGTGATGCTTGTTAGGCTTTCCCTCACCTGTACTTTGTTTCTTTCTACTCCTCCACCTGATGCCCTCCCCCTCAGAGATCTCCAAGTCAAGCTGACTCTAGTGACACTCATCAATCTTTCTACCTTTCCGTTGCTCCCAAGAGCAGCTTTGACCCCTCTGACAATCTGGCAACGCTGTCTCCTGCAGCCCACACCTTTGGATCCCCTGAGCTGTCACTTTTCCAAATCACTTTCAACAAATGCCCTTGAACGGTTCTCGCTCTGTGCCACAAAGGGCCCTTCTCTTTCTTGCTTAAGCTCATCTGTAAGAAAACTTTTCTGTTCTAATAGCCTTCTTCCCTCCATGCCATTGGCAATGCTTCTCATGAAAAACAAGAAGGAAAAATTCAAACTAGTCACACCCAGCAGCCAGTTTTTCACCGTGTCCACCGCTCGGTGACAGAGGCGAGAAGGGCTGGGGTTGGGGGGGATGTCAGGTTCAAAATTTCCAGACATTACGATAACTACTGCAACTGGAGAGTCTACCTTTCCCCAAAAAACCTCAACGGAATAATGCAGGATTATGAAGTCACAACGAAATCCACTGTGATGTTGACATATAAAGGATTGTGTTGCACAGACAGCAGGTTATAGGAACAAGAGTTCAGTCCATCTTTTTGCCAGACTCGTGACACCTGCTTTAATAGCTTCATCCTAAAGATTAAAAAAAAAAAGTGAAAAAGATAAGGTTATACAGAATTACATGTCTGGATATTAACCTTTACTTCTGCCAACATTCCTGAAGAAAGTATGCAAGCCCTCTTGCAGAACCACCAAATTCAACTGTTTCCTAGTAGATACATATTCTACTTTACATTCCTGCACAGTGAGACAGAAAGACAGGAAGACCTGGGTTCAAATCCCACCTTGGACATTTATTGGTGGTGTAACCTTGGGTGAGTCACTTAACACTTGGTTTTCTAGGTAACTCTCTAAGGCTATAAGTTGAATCAAAGGTGCCAGTCTGCAATGGTCAGAAAGGGTTTTCTTACTTTATAGAAGTATATAAATGAAAATCACAGGTCCAGTTCCTACTCCTAATCCCTATGAAATAGTCCAGATTATAAAACATACAATAGTCTTGAAATGAAAAATTTAGGAACCAACTCTGAGCACTTCAGACAGATGCTGGCTGTCTTCCATGCCTAGTATGCTTTTCCTCATCATCTCTGCTTCCTGGCTTCCTTTAAGTCCCAGCTAAAATCCTACTACTACTTCAGGGGCAGCACCATCAGGAGGACCTGAGTTCAAGTGTCAAATAGTTGACACTTACTAGCTGTGTGACCCTGGTCAAGTCATTTAACCCCAGTTGCCTAAAAAATAAAATAAAATCCCACTACTTAAAAAAAAAAGCCTTTCCCAGTTCTTTTTAATCTTAGGGCCTTCCCTCTGAGACTACCCCAAATTTATCCAGTATAAATCTTGTCTGTACATAGGTGTTCACGTGTTGTCTCCCCCATTAGACTGTAAAAAAAGGGCCAGTCTTTTGCCTTTTTTTTGTATCCCCAGCTCTTAGGATAAAGCCTGGCACTTAGTAGGTACTTGATAAATGCTAGTTGACTAACTACTGGGAAAGAATTTAGTGGGAAAGCAGAGGGGAGAGGGTGCTCCCTGAGGAGACAAAAGTTGATACTTTCACTATGATCTTGTTAATGATTGAAAGAGCTGATCTTATCCAAGTACTGGGTCTTCCTCATTGCCTTAAACACAATCCTGGTTTAGTGGGTTCATTGGAAAATTCATTTCTTTATGACTACAAACCCAGAGCTTACCTTTGTGAGTTCTTCTCATTGCCTTTATCTCTGGTATGGAAGATCATTGTGTATTTGGCTATGGAAGGAGGTGGCCGAGATATTTTCATCCCTTGCATCTCCACCCTATAAAAAGAAAAAGCACCATGTAACGCCAATTGAACACCAAAGAGGAATTCCACAGAGCTGGATGATGAGACAGGCATGGGGCTTGTTGATTTAACTTCTCTGTGCCTCAGTTTTCTCAACTTTTAAAATGAAGGCACTGTATTTGAGGGCCTCTAAGTTCCCCTTCAGATCTAAATCTACGATCCTATGGTTTACTAATTACATTTGTCCAAAACCCTCTACTGAGACTGCAAGGTCCTTGAAAAAGGCAAATTAAGATAAAAGCCTCAGTCCCTGTGGCTACATCACTACACAAATAACATCACGGACATCATTAACCGTCTTGCCCCACACGTGACTGGCCCATGTCACATGGGTATTATGTAGCAAAGGAGGGTTCAAATATAGAATTTTCAGACTTCAAATCCGGTGCTTTTCCTACTTGAAAATTCTCTTGCCTTCTGTTCCTTTAAGGTTCAGTTCAACAAGCAAGTCAACGAACATTTGTTAAGTACTTACTATGTGAAAAGGTACGTCACTAAGCACCAGAAACACAGATACAAATGTCCTAGGATCCTAAATTCCGAGCTGGAAGGGACTTGGAGTGGTCATTGAGTCTAGCTCGCCCATTTTACAGATGATGAGACTGAGGCACAGAAAGGGTAAATGACTTGCCCTGAAGCAAAAAGCTACTAAGTGTTTGAGGCAGGATTTTAATTCGGATCTTCCTGACTCCAAGTACAGCGTCTTATCCACTTTATGAAACTACCCTGCAGCAGTCCTTGTTTTCTCTCTCAGGGCATCTAGGTGGTACTGTAGAGAAAACATCAAGCCTGGAGTCTGGAAGACCTGAGCTCAAAGCCAGCTTCAGTTGCCATCTGTAAAATGGGGGTAAGGCCAGCACCCACCTCCCAGGGTTGTTGTGAGGATAAGGTAAGATGATAATCACAAAGTACTTAGCGCAGTGCCTGGCACATAGTAAACACGATATAAATGTTAGCTATTGTCATTATTACTCTCTATCCTTTTGGTTATTACGAACTTAAATAACAACAATGAATATTTCCCTTTACAAAGAAGAATATAAAAAGAAGACTGCATATGAAACCATGAATTTACAGCCGGTACAGAGTGTTTTACTTGTTACATTTCAAAATTAACATGGTAGTTCTCAGATTTCCCTGCTTGACTGTGTCCCTTTTTGAACTTTCTTTTGCTCTCTTCCCTTTATTTTTCAGTGACTCACTGATGTTTTTTTCTTTCTTTTCTATCACTGTCACTATCCCCCAACTCTCCCTCCTCCCTGATTCTACTTTTATCACACTTATTTAAAAATATATTTTCCTATATGTTTAATAGGAATGTATATGTATAGCCTATATCAGATTGCATGCCATCTTGGGGAGGAAGGTGGAGAAAAATGTAAAACTCAAAAGTTTATGGACATGATTGTTGATAAATCAAAACAAATGAATAAAAAACTTATTTCTTTATTTCAAAAACATATTTTTATGAAGTCATCCTGATTGTCATTTCTTAGAGCATAATAGTATTTCATTACAATCATATACTATGACTTATTCAGAAAAACCTGGAAAGACTTAAATTAACTGATGCAAAGTAAAGTGAGCAGAACCAGAACACTGTGCACAGTAACAACATTGTGCGATTATCAATGTGATAATGTGAATGACTTAGCACCTCTCAGCAATGCAATGATCTAAGACAATTCTAAAGGACTCATTATGAAAAATGCTATCCACCTCCAGAGAAAGAACTGATAGACTATGAATGCAGATTGAAGCATACTATTTTTCCACTTTATTTTTTCTCATGGTTTTTTGTTGTCTGCATTTTCTTTCACAACATGACTAATTTGGAAATATGTTATATGTGATTACACATGTATGATCTATATCAAATTGCTTGCCCATCTCAGGGAGTGGAAAGGTGAGGAGGGGAAGGAGGGAAAGAATTTGGAAATCAAAATTTTTTTAAAATGAATGTTAAAAATTGGCTTTACATGTAATAGGGGAAAAAAATAAAAATATGTTTATAACCCTCAGTAAATTTTGGCAGGGACTGTGTTCACAGAAATCATAGATTTAGAGCTGGAAGATACCTTAGAGGCCACTGAGTTCAGCCCTCTCATTTTACAGATGATGAAACTGAGACCTAGAAAAGTTAAGTGACTTGCCCAGAATAACACAGCTAGTAAATGTCTGAAGCAAGATTTGAAGCCAGGTCTTTCTGGCCCTAAGTCGAGTGTCCTATCCACTACACCAAGAAAATTCTGTATTCTTTCCCCTTTGAATTCCAGCCCCTAGCACACAGTCTTTCACAAGTAGGTACTTACTTTGGCCAAGTTGAATCAATCACTGAAGGAACTGCAAGAGCTGAAGGTAAACATTTCCTTATTCTTATCTGACATCCCTGAGCCCCTATACATCAGGATCCAAAATCCCTTGCAGCAGCCCACGCCACAGAGCTGAGAATGGAATTCTCTGACAACTGTCCTCCTTGAGGAGTTTTAGACCCCACGGCAGGGGTGTTCTCTAGGCACCAAGTGGGCCGTCCTCACGCAGGCAGCGATTATGTACACTTAAGCCTGGATGGGGTATGAGTAGCTACCCCTAAACAGATATTTGCATGCCTTAGTAGACCACAGAATAATTCTCAAACAATGGAAAGCTGCAGGCATTATAAAAAAGAAAAATTTTGGAAGACTCAAGAACAATCATTGAACAACACAATTACTATGCCACAATTTCAGAGAAATCGTGATGATGAAGAACACTACCCACCTCCCGACTGAGAAGTAATAGGCTCAATATGCAGAATGAGATACATTTTTAGATATGATCAATTCAGGAATTAGTTTTGCCCTACTATGTATATTTGTCACAAAGGTTTTGTTTTTTGGTTTTTTTTTTTCTAAATGGGGGTGGGTACTGGTGGGGAAAGGTAAGAAGGAGAGAAAATAAATGTTTTGTTTTCTAATTAAAAAAATGTAATTTTTTAAAAAACGAAGTTGGGGCAGCTAGATGGCGCAGTGGATAGAGTACCAGCCCTGGATTCAGGATGACCTGAGTTCAAATCCAGCCTCAGACACATAACACTTACTAGCTGTGTGACCCCGGGCAAGTCACTTAACCCCACTGCCTAGCCAAAAAAACCGAAAAACAAAAAACAAAAAACAAAGTTGTTGGTGTTAGGTATAGACTTGGAAAACACAATCCAACAGCACTTGCAGTGTGTTCCCACTTTATAAATGAGACCTGTGGGCATAAATGAAGCCCACTCTTTCATTTCTTCCTATATAGCTAGGTCCTCATTAATGTAAATAATGAATCCCCTGAAGCAGCCACGTTATTCAAATTTGTACTATATATTTCAATTATGTTAGAACCAATTATTATATTATATGATAACTTCAGATAATATGGACTTGTTTTGTTTTGTTTTTGGAGGCAAATTGGGACTGTGACTTGCCCAGGGTCACACAACTAGAAAGTATCTGAGGCTAGATTTTAACTCAGGTCCTCCTGACTCCAAAGTGAGTACTCTATCTACTGTGCCACCTAGCTGCTCCCCAGAGAGTATGGATTTGAAATATGACTACTTTAGGGATTCATTACTTGAATCATTATTTGAACTAATAGGAACCCAATTGTAATATGGTATCTGCCAAAACAGTGGCCCTACACTAGGCCACAAAGAGGGCTGTTCTCTGTTGATTCACCTGATTCTGAGGTCATCATCTTCTCCACCCCAGCCCCAGTAGTTGTTGGAGAATCCATTCACCATGTAAAACTGGTCTTTTGTTAGAGCACAAACACCTCCAAAATATCCCTTGTAACGCAATCTGTAGATTAGAAAAAAGTATATAGGAAAAAAGAATGAGTACAAAGCAAACTTATTTCCAATAAACACCACATATATTCTGTGCTTTCCTTATGAATATCCTGTGAATGTTTTGACATCAAACTGCCAACTATCAACCAATTTTCTTAAGCCTCATCTACCCTCCAACTTTCTTTACTTACCTTTTTAACCTATTCCCTCCCTTGTTCACCAAATAAGGTACCATCTTACCTATTCATTTCTTCTTTTTCATGCTTGTATATGTATGTATGTATATATGTATGTATGTATGAATGAATGAACTCACAGATGTCTAGGTATCAGTATATCTATTTGTATCATAGATTATTATATCCAATTGCCCCTTAGGGAATATCTGCTGACCTTGCATAAAAATTAATAAAGGCAAATAACACAAAGGGGCATACTTCCATGAAAATCCAACCCCATATCACCACCAATTAGTACAGGTCAGATGATGCCCTTAGACTGCATCTTTCAACTTTTACTGCGTTAGAAATTAAAAGAAAAAATGCAATGACCAATCAGATTCCAAAAGAATGATAATGCTAGTGATAATGCTGATAATGATAATGATAAAGAATGATAATGCTGCCAAGATGCAGAATGAGACATAGTTTTGGACATGACCAATGTGAGAACTTGTTTGACTACGCAGATTTTTAACAAGGATTTTATTTTTCTTCCCCGCCCCCCAACCCTGACCCTTGGGCAGGGAGCAAGAGGGTGGGGAGATGGGGGGTGTGGAGTGGGAAAGGGGCACAAAGATATGGTAAAAAGAAAAAATAAATAAATGAGTGTTAATTTTTTAAAAAGTTTTTAAAAATACCCTGACCCCAGCCAAAAATATGAATTCCCTTTTCTTCAACCCACCCACCTACCCAATATGGAAGCTAAATGTCCCCTCAGGGGCATACCTGGTCCAGACTCCTCCTCCCTAAGGGGTTCTGATGCCTTGTAAAACCATTCCAGGCTGGAAGAGTGAGAACCAGGAGTCCAACTATGCCAGGGTAGGGTCTAGCAATCCACTATTCTAGGTGTTGGCCCTGTACAAGGTGATGGATGCTGGTCACCCTATGGAGGATAACCAATAATAGTCAATCCATCGTTTCTCTAAGTATGTATCTGTGTTTCAGCTGCTTGTAAGAATATGGGGGGGGGCCGCTAGGTGGCGCAGCAGATAGAGTGCTGGCCCTGAAGTCAGGAGGATCTGGGTTCAAATCTGGCCTCAGACCAAACACTTGACACTTACTAGCTGTGTGACCCTGGGCAAGTCACTTAACCCCAATTGCCTAAAAAAAAAAACCCCAAAAAAAGAATATGGGGGGGAGAGGAGGGGTGTGTGCCATATCTGTCCACATATATGTATGGCTGTGTGTATCACTTGTAGTAAATAAACCGAGTATATTTCTATGTGTAAAAAGTAGATGGCCAACAGCAGGAGACAACAATTAGTTGAACACATGACTGAAATGCCAGCTATTTGAGGGATTTCACACCTGCAAAATCAGGCGGGAAAGATCAGGAGGTATCTGTATGCAGAATGTCTAACAAATGCTACACCTTATGAGATCAAATAACTAGAGGCCAAGACTCTGAAAAGAGACACCAAGGCCAGATTGTCCAAGACAAGGAAGAGACCTGTAGTTTTCTTTCTGAGGTGAAAGCTTGGAAAAGTCAAGTTGTGAATATACCTCCAGGGAAGTCAACACAGGGTTGGTGGGGAATGACAAACCCATGGTTGCCATTTTCCTCAGTTTTGCGGGTAGCACATGGTCTGACTCAAGGTAGGGAGAGGCAGCTACAGCCTTAGACTGGGAGCCCCCTAGGGAAGCCTCTAATTCACCTAACACTTCCTATAGTGTACTTTAAAAAAATCAGATCTAGAACTGGAAAGGATCTCAGCTGGCAAATAGTCAAAACTCTTCTTTTTACATTTAAGGAAACTGAGGTCCAGGGAGGTTAGGGAACTTGTTCAAGATCACACAGGACTGGGCAGCTAGGTGGTACGGTGGATAGACACCAGCCCTGGGTTTAGGAAGAACCGAGTTCAAATCCGGCCTCAGACACAAAACACTCACTAGCTATGTGACCCCGGGCAAGTCACTTAACCCCATTGCCTAGCCCGAAAAAAAAAAAAGATCCCACAAGAATTCAGAGGCAGGATTTGAACCTAAGTCCACACTACTTCCCACTGCCTCCCTAATTTATCTTATCTTGTCTTATTATAGGATTTTAGATTTAGGGCTAGAAGAAAACTTGAAAGGTCACTGAGTCCAACCCCCTCATTTTACAGATGAAGAAACTGAGACCTCAAGAGTTTAAGGTACTTGACCATGGTCACAGAGCTAGTAAGTGTGTTAGAGGCAGGATCTGAACCCAGGTCTTCCTGACTGCATGTCCAGCATGCTCTCCACTATTCCATACTGGCTCTCATAGGGACTAAGTGTCCTGAGTGCTTATCTAGCTGTGAAATAGTGTTTGCTCTTTAATTCTACCTTTTTTTTTGGGGGGGGGGTAAGTGACTTGACCAGGGTCACATAGCTAGTAAGTATCTGAGGCTGAATTTAAACTCAGGTCCTCTTGACTGTGCCCCACTCCCCTTAATTCTCAACAAATTTCTCAGGACATGCCATTAATAACCTCAAGGATTATTCAAAAAGGTCTGTGTTAGGAAAAAGCCACAGGAAGTAGGCCTAAAGACTGGTGCTGCTTCCAAAGTCTTTAATAGTCTGGTAATAGCCCTGTACCTTGAAGACTGATCATAAGCATGCTCAGAGGTGAAACAGAGGGTGATCTTCATTCAGCGTAGTGTTTTGTTCTCTTCATTTATTTTTTTCTGGGTTTTGGGGGGAGGCATCTGGGGTTAAGTGACTTTCCCAAAGTCAGATAGCTAGTAAGTGTCTGAGGCAGAATTTCAACTCAAATCCTCTTGACTCCAAGGCTGGTGCTCTATCCACTATACCACCTGGCTGCCAAATGTAGTGTTTTATTGTGCGGACCTTTTCTCAGAATAAGATTTTTCTTGTTGTTGTTGAGGCAATCAGGGTTAACAGACTTGCCTATGGTCACACAGCTAATAAAGGTCAAGTGTCTAAGGCCAGATTTGAACTCAGGTCCTCCTGACTTCAGGGCCAGCACTCTATCCACTGTCCCACCCAGCTGCCCCCTAAGATTTTTAATAATTGAAAGAAATGCCAAATTTCAGCTACAAGGTAGTAAAAATAAAGATGTAATTTGTTTGTTTTTCCCATCCAACTTCACAAACCCTCTAAAATTTATCTAGTAGCCCACAGTTCCAGGTTAAGAACTTCTGAAAAAAATGTTAGCTGTAGATATTATAGTTCAATTAAATTTAACCAACTTTTAAAAAACTATTATGTGAACAGTGCCATGTTTTGACAGTCCTCCATTTGCCTGCTGTTTCAATTAACTAATCTTTCTGGAGCCTCCAGTTTTTCCTATGTCCTCACCTTCCCCATTTTCAAACTGCTTTACTGTTAAATGGTGTAACAATGAAACTCAATCAGGAGTCACTGGGCATTATGCACTGAAAGGTTAGTCTGCAGTTTCTCTGAGGTATTATATTCAAAATATTACCCCAAAAGACATGGGTCAGTCAATCAGAAAGTATTTATTGAGCCTCTACCATGTGTCAGATACTATGCTAAGTGCTAGGAATACAAAGAAAGGCAAAAGGTAGTCCCTGCTTTCAAGGAGCTCAGGGTCTAAAGGGAGAGACCACATGAAAACATCCATGATCACACAAGATATAAACAGGACAAATTAAGAGACAATCCACAGAGGGAAGACATTAGAACTCAAGGACATCAGGAAAGAGGTTAATAACAAGGTAACAAAAGTGAACTATTGACAATACCACTCCTACCTGTAGCCAGTGCTGTTTCTGCCAACCACCAGGTGTTTTGGATGAGCATCACACATGTAGAGGTTAAAGTCATTCTCTGGTACCAGATCCACATCATGGAATATAAAACAATCCCAATTTTCTTCCTTAAGGGCTTCTAGGTAGCCAACATTCAGGAGTCTGGCTCTGTTAAATTTGTCATCTCCAGCCTGGAGGTATTAAAAGGAATGGAGTGGTAATAACCAGATTTACAAGTGAGTTACAACTTTGTACCATCTTTCCTAAATCATAACATTTATCATAATCATAACTTAATAGCAATAATGTTTAGTGAAGTTAAAAAAGTGAGGTTAAGGAAAGTAGAAGTGGAAGGGGATAAAAGAAGAGGGGATGCTCATAGAAGGGAGGGTGGACTGGAAGAGTGGGTAATCAAAAGCAAAACACTTTTGAGGAGGGAAAGGGTGAAAGGAGAGAGACAATAAAAATGGGGAGGGAGGAATAGAATGGAAGGAAATAAATTAGCAATCATAACTGTGAAAAAACTTTTGAAGCACGTTTCTCTGATAAAGGCTTCATCTCTCAAATATATAGAGAAATGAGTCAAATTTATAAAAATAAGGGTCATTCCCCAAATGATCAAAAAAAAGAAATAGTCAGTTTTCAGATGAAGTAATCAAAGCTATCCATAACCATATGAAAACAAATGATCTAAATCACTGTTGATTGGAGAAATGCAAATTAAAACAATTCTGATATACTACCTCACATCTATTAGATTGGCTAATAGAACAGAAAAAGAAAATAACAAATATTGGAGGGGATGTGGGAAAATTGAGACACTAATGCACTGTTGGTGGAGTTGTAAACTGATTCAATCATTATGTAGAGCAGTTTGGAACTACGTCCAAATATTGATAGCAGCTCTTTTCTGGTGGCAATGAATTGGAAGTCGAGGGGATGCCCATCAATTGGGGAATGGCTGAACAATTTGTGGTACATGATTATGTTGGAATACTATTGTGCTATAAGAAATAATGAGCCAGATGCTCACAGAAAAACCTGGAAAGACTAATATGAACTGATGCAAAGTGAAATGAGTAGAACCAGGAGAACATTGTATCTAGTAGCAACAATACTGTAAGATGATCAACTGTAAATGACTTGGCCATTCTCAGCAATAGAATGATTCAAGACAACTCTGAAGGACTTAACAGTGAAAAATACTATCCATCCCCAGAGAAAGAAATGATAAAATCTGCATACAGATCAAAGCATGCTTTATTTTTTACTTTTTCTATATTTCTTGGGTTTTTATTTTTGTCTATGTTTTCTTTTACAATATGACTAACATGGAAATATATTTTGCATGACTACACATGTATAACCTACATCAAACTGCTTACCTTCTCAATGAGGGGGGGTGGAGAGGAAGGGAGAGAATTTGGAACTCAATTTTAAAAATGAATGTTGAAAATTGGTTTTACATGTAATTGGGGGGAAATAAAATATTAAATAAAATAGGCGAAAAAAGCAAGGTTAAAGAAATTATTCATCTTGAACATGATAAATACACACACTATTACATTACAATTGTATTTTGTATTTCCACTTTGTAAACTGATTCAACCATAAATATTCCACTAGACAGTTAATCATAACAAAAATCTGGGCAGTGCCCACTTTAAGCCACTTTATGTGCCTAAAAGCAGCAATACGGAGCTGATCATTACAAAGTACATTGTATTTTTCTACAGCATCAAGGTCTCAATTAGGGATTATAGACCTTATCAAGAACTCAAAATAAAGAATCAGATGACTGCTACAGGTTCTTCTAGCTCTGGATCCATAATTCTAAAGAGATTCTAATTGCGGCCAACAACATCCAAAAATCTAAGTTACAACAATAATAAACCTGCCATAATCACAAAAGAAAAAGTATGTCCCAAGTTATATAAAATGGGCATAAATATATGTCACAATTAATTTATACAAAGGCCATCAATGGACTATGAAGAGTACACATAACACACAAAAGACAATTTTGGGACTTCCAGCAAGAAAGGAGAATGAAAAGTCACAAGCAAGCCACATGCCTCATAATGCCCCTTCAGACAGAATACAAAAAACAGACACAATTGTCAGAAACTCCCATAAGAAAATTATACCTCACTAAAAATAAGATGAGTGAAACAAAGAGCTCTGCTATAATTTTTAAAAGTCAAAATATTATAACAACATTGTAAAAATGGCTTTGAAAGTTTTAGAACTCTGATCACCTTGACGACCAGTCATGACTCCAGAGAACTAGTGATGAAGAATGCTGCCCATCTCCTAACAAGGAGAGGATGAAATAAACATGCAGAATGAAACACACATCATTGTATGTTACCAATATGGGAATCTGTTTGGTTTATCTAGGTATACCTGTTACAAGAATTTTTTTTTTATAGTACAAAGAAGGGGGGTAAGGAGAGAAAATAAATTATCAAAACAATATCAGGAGTAGCATAAGAAATGATGCAAGAAACTGGAAAAAAACACTCAAATAGGTAACACTCAAGGAATTCGAGGAAAAATTAAAATGGGGGGGAGAGAAAAAGTTAAAAAAAAAAAGAAATGAATGAAACTATAAAGTCCCAGGAGAAAATAATGAAAGAGAATTCAGCTTGACAGGAGATGATGGCAAAGCTCACTAAAACAGACAACAGCATAGAGTAATTAGTAAATATAGAAAGAAAGACATAGCTGAAAGCTGGATCAATAAAAGGGTAGTGCAAATACAGAAAAACAAGCTCAGAGAGTAACTCAATCAAAAAATATTTGGAAGCAATACAGATACAAATTAGATAGGAGCTGTCTTATAGTATCTCCATTGCACAGCGTAGGGTAACCTGTGATTTCACTGACGCAAAGGAAGTAGGTAGTGTGGTATATAGAATGCTGGGCCTGGAGTCAAGAAGAAATGAGTGCACATCCAACCTCAAATACTTACTAGCTGTGTGACCCTGGGCAAGTCATTTAACCTTAGTCTGCCTCAGTTTTCTCATATGTAAAGTGATGATAATAACCACATCTACTTCTCAGACTTGTGAGGTTTGTAAAGCACTGAGCACTGTGACTGGTACTTAGTAAATTCATTCTTCCTTCCTTCCTTCTTTTCTTCCTTCCTTCCTCCCTCCCTTCCTTCCCACAGAAGAAAACTCCCTCTATCAACACAGATCCAAAAAATATCAAGGGGAACCATGAATAAAATTGATGGAGAAGAATGCCAGATTTCAAGTTTTTTAAAGGAGTACTCATCCATACCAGATGGTTTTGATTAAAAAAAAAAAGAAAGAAAAAAAACCTCAGTGGACAAAAAGAGAGAATACAGAAATGGAACCAAACATTTATAGGCCAGTGTATGATAAACTCAAGATTACAAAATGCTGGAGAAAAGGAATCAAACAAACCAAATATCGCAAAGATTTAATTGGAAGGAAGAAAAAGTATTACCTTACTGAATAAATGGACGGGTTCGCTAAAGACAAAATAGATGGACTTGATTACGTAAATATAAAAAGATTTTATTCAAAGGGGTGTGAAAGGGAGGGAAAAAATCTTTTGGTAACTGTGATAAAGGTAATATAAATTTATTAGTATTACCTGCTCTTCAGGGCAGCTAGGTGGTGCAGTGGATAGAGCACCAGCCCTGGAGTCAGATGGACCTGAGTTCAAATCCGGCCTCAGACACATAATACTCACTAGCTGTGTGACCCTGGGCAAGTCACAACCCCAACTGACCTCACCAAAAAATTTTTTTAAAAAAGTATTACCTGCTCTTCCACACATAATGACTGAAAAATATTAATAGGCAATTTTTGAAAAAGGATATATAAATTACTAATAATTCTCTAAATTCAAGTATTTCAAATAAATCATAGAAATACAAATTTAAACAACTTTGAGATTTTGCCCTATACCTATCAACTCATCTAAAATAATTTGAAACTGTGTTATTGAATACCGAAAAGACTTTTAGGCAACAAGCATTTATTACATAGTGCTGCAATTGTAAATTGGAGCAATCTTTTTGTAGAGCAATCTAGTAAAACGCAACAAAAAGTTAAAAGTTAGCTGTATCGTAATGATTCCAGGACTCCATCCTCAAGACATTATTAAATGGACAAAAAAATCTGTGTACAAAAATATTTATAGATGTTTCATATGTAATTTTAAAAAAACGGGAAGCAACTTCTATGTTTGTGAATAGCCAAATCAATTGTGATGTAGTAACATAGTGGAATACTATTACACAGATGGCAAATAAGAATACAAAGAAATGAGGGAAAATTTATACAAAGCTTTGCAAAGCAAAGAAAGCAGTATTAGAAGAACATACATTCTGACTATTATTGTAAACAGAGAGACAGTGAGACAGCAAAAATGTCTATAAATATACCAAAGTAAAAAAGGATCAAAAGGAGATAGAGGATATGAGTTATTGTTATTATTTTGGTAAAGCTATTTTCTTTATTGCTCCTTATTTTGTTTGGGTTTGTTCGGATTATATTTATAATTTATGTATAGTTATATATATTATTATATTTATAATTTAAAAAAAATAAAAACTAAACAAAAACACAAAACACTGCTGTTCTATATTATCTGGCCTAAAACTAATATCTCAGCTATTACAACTACTAAACTATTGATAATTTTGCTTGGCTTCTTAGATTTTTAATTACTTTTCTGGAATGATTTCAAAAAGTTTTTCAGGACAAAAGCATGATAGCTTTCAAAGTAATACACTGGATTTATTACTTTTTTTTTTAAGGCAAATGGACACTAATACACTGTTGACAGATTTGTGAATTGGTCCAACTATTCTGGAGAACAATTTGGAACTTTAGCCAAAGGGCTATAAAACTGCATACTCTTTGAGTCAGCAATACCTCTACTAGCTCTGTATCTCAAATAGAAGAAAGAAAAGGGAAAAGGACCTATATGTACAAAAATATTTATAGCAGCTCTTTTTGTGGTGGCAAAGAACTGGAAATTGAGAGGATGCTCATCAATTGGGGAACAGCTAAACAAGTTATGATATATGACTATGAGGGAATACTATTATGCTATAAGAAATTATGAGGGGTATATTTTCAGAAAAACCTGGGCAAGACATATGTGAACTGATGCAAAGGGAAGTGAGCAGAAACAGGAGAATATTGTACATAGTAACAGCAATATTGTGACAATGATCAACTGTGAAAGACTTAGTTATTCTCCAAAGGACTCATGATGAAAAATGCTGTCCACCTCCAGAGAGTGAACTGATGAATTCTGAGTGCAGACTGAAGCATACTTTTTTTACTTTATTTTTCTTCCTTTTTTTTTTTAACATGACTAATATAGAAATGTTTTGCATGACTTCACATTATAATGAGTGGGATATTGCTTGCCTTCTCCAACTGTAGGAGAGGAGCTAGAAGGAGACAAAATATTTGGAATTCAAAATTTTTTTTTAGAAAAAGGCAAGCTCTATGTAAACAGATTGATGGATTCATATGCAATCACCTTTTTTTCCTGTTCTACAGAATATATGAAAATGCTAATTTTTTTTCCTTTCTGTTTAAATGCAGAACAATTATTTTTTCAAATTTTACAGGAAAGTTTAATTGATGAACTTTCCTTAAAGGAATAGATTTCTTTATTGTAAGGACCTTAGAGATCATGTAATCCAATCTCTTCCTTTTGCAGACAACTAAAGATCATACAGCTAGTAAGAATGTGTGGGGTGTGTGTGTCATATATATATATATCACAGATGATACATTTTTTCATTTTTATAAATAGTATTTCTCTCTTAATCTCCCCCACCCCCACTTTCTGTTAATGATATATAAAAATACATAAAATTTTTGTAACTTTTTCTTATCTTACATTAATGTTATACGTCTTGGTAATCAAATTCATTATACTGTACCTTTTCAAGAAGAGTGTGAAGTCTTTCACAACTAGATGATACTATGGTGAACCAACAAAGTTAAATGAGTGACTGATGGCAATGAAAAGTCAACAGTAGGTCTATTTTAATTAATTACTGAAAGGCAAAATGCAAAATGGCAAAGATGGCTGTTTTAGTACTTCCAAAGCCACAGTACAACAAAAGGCACTAGTACATGATTCCATCAAATAACTGCTTCTTTCTAGTCCTTCCTCATATAATAATCACTCTTGATTATGAAAAAAATATTAAAACATCTGCTTATGTGGCATGCAATAAATATTCTGAGGAATATTAGGAAGAGAATTTAATCAGGCTTTTAGTTTGAACTTTGGTTGGTAGGCAATAAGAAATCATTAAAGTTTTTGAACAGAGGAGTGACATGACTGGATCTTTCTTGTAACCATATGAGGAATGGACTGGATGATGCTGATACAGGAAGCAAAAAGACCAATTAGGAGGCTACTGCAATAGTTTAGGAAGGTAATTAATGAGAGCACTCATAACACGAAAAAGTATGAAATAGCTTTCCTCATTCAGCAAGCTCATTTAAGAGGCAGTAAAATTTTCCAGAGTTTGGTCAAATGGAATCCACATACCATGGGACAAAAATGTTGTTTTCCCCTTTTCAGGGATTTAAAAAAAAAAGAATAGCAATTTTACCCAAGAAAGGTTGAATTATAACAATTTTACCCAAGAAAGTTTGAATGATGGCAATTTTACCCAAGAAAAATTAGAAAGATGACCATGTAGTCAAGTAGAACTTTATAAAGTAGATTTATAGGATCAAGGGGACCAACTCCAGTAACTGCTTACCTGATGAATGACATAGATGCCATACTCCACTTGCTGCCTCTTCAAAAATGGATGGAGATGTTTCAGCAGGTACAATAAGTGTTTCTCCCTATTCCGGTGTGGAATTAGGATGGCAACCCGTTGTAAGGCCTGACAGTCTTCTGGGTGGTAACGGCCGCTCTGAACTTTAGGATTCTCTCTCTGTACTTCTCCCCATGTGAGATCTGACTTGAAAATAAGTTTGCTGGTTCCTCCTAAATAACGCACACAGGCATCAAGTCTAGTTTCCAAGCTACCAAAGTGCCTTAGAGATGAAATTCTCATATCCAAAATGGGAACACTGGGAAAAAACTCAATTCTTGCTTCTCTTATTGGGAAAGAAAAGTAGAAGAGAAAATAAGGCTCCTTTGTATTCTAAAACTGTATGGTGCTCTAACAGTTTTAATTTAAGCTCTGTTAAAGTACGATGATTATCATTATGGAATAGGATTTTAAAATTCTAATTAGACCCATCAATAATACCTCTAGGCCTATATACCAAAGAGATCAAAGAAAGAGGAAATGGACCCATACATATAAAAATATTAACAGTAGCTCTCTTTGTAGCAACAAAAAACTGAAAATTAAGGGAGTACCCCTCTATTGGGAAATGGTTAAACAAATCATGGCACATGAACGCAATGCATATTATTGTACCATAAGATATGATGAAATGGACAATTTCAGGGAAAACTGGGAAGACCTATGTGAACCAATGCAGTGAAGTGAGCAGAACCAGAACAATTTATACAATAACAAAATTATGAGGAAAAATAACTTGCAAGTCTTGAGATGCTAATCAATGCCATGACAAATCATGATTCCAGTGGACCAAAGATGGAGTATACTCTGGAGTCAGAAGGCCTAGGTCTGAGTCTTAGGTCTATCACTATCTATCTCTGGGATCATGATCTAGGACCACGCTACACCTCAACTTCATCTATAAAATGAGAGGGGTTGAACGGATGAATTGTAAAGTTCTTTCCATTTCTAACATTCTATTATTCTAGTTCTTCTATCCTCAAACTCCAAATGACTAGCCATATGACAAAATAATAGCATATGGTTAACATTTATTAACACTTTTATGGTTTGCAAAGCACTTAAAAAATATATTACCTCAAATAGTTTCAGAAGACACTTTGGAAGACTTGCATGAATTAATGAAGAGCAAAATAAGCAGAACTAGAAGAATAATTTATATCATAACAACATGGCAAATACAACAACTCAAGGACTTAGGAACTCCGATCAATATAAGAACCAGCCACAGTTCTAGAGGATCTATCATGAAGCACAATAACCATCTTCTGACTGAGCGGTGAGAACATCAAAATAAAGAATGAATCATTCATTAAAACCTCTTTGGGGAAGGGATTTGAATTATGCAGCTAAAAACATAGTAAACAAGCAGAACAAGCAACTGGGCCAGAGAAAGGTACAAAATGTTTACCAGTCCAAGGATACATCTGTTACCCCAACTCTGCCAGTAGGGTGGAAATTTGATGCATTTCTTTTTCTTTCTTTCTTTCTTTCCTTTTTTTTTTCCTTGGTGAGGCAACTGGGGTTACGTGACTCGACCAGGGTCACATAGCTAATTAGCGTCAAGTATCTGAGACTGACTCCAAGGCCGGAGCTCTATTCACCGATCCACCTAGCTTCCCCATTTGACGCATTTCAAAAAGGAAAAGGAATCAAGGCAAGTGGGATATCCTGATGGAACCAACAAGGAAAGCCTAGGCTTAGAAAGCAGTTTCACAGTAGCCTAGGCCTTGTGGTCCCCAACTACACAACTCCCAGAAAGGAGACCCAAATTCCAAGGAAGGACAAAAACAAAAGTCCAACATCACTTAAAGGAGAATAGCTATTTATACCCAGGTAGTGAATTTGCTTCAAGAAAAAACAGTCAGGGAGAAAGGAAGAGAGGTGAAGGGAGAATGTCCAATGTCTTGAATATCCAATACATGACCACCATGAAATGAGGTTAGAGGAAGAAGGGATCTTCACACTCAAAGAAGTAAGGGCAGGAAGCAGATTCTAGAAAAGATGAGATACCTCTCAGACCTGCCAAACCTAATCTTCATGTAGTGTATATCTTGACATCCCATGACCACCTCAAACTCAATACTGCAACGCCAACCCTTCCCTCCCCCTAAATCTACTTCTGCTTTGTTCGTGACAGCACCATTTACTCAGTCTCCCAAATGGGAAAATCCTGGTGTTATCACACTCTTTTCTCTCGTATCCAACAGATTATGGCTAGAATGTCATCCCTTCCCTTCTATGCCAATGGATTTCTTACCCATCCTAGTTTTTTAAAATTGTTTTATTTTTTATTTTCACTTCCAAATTCTCTCCCTCCCTCTACTCTGTTCCCTCACCCAGTGAGAAAGCAAGAAACAGGATACCCATTATACAAATGAAGTCATGCAAAATATAGTTCCATATTAGCCACATTGTGGGGGGAGGAAGCAAGAAAAATTTAAAAAGTGAAAAAAAAATGTGCTTCAATTTGCATTTAGAGTCCATCAATTCTCTCTCTAGAGGTGGAACACTTTTCATTTTCAGTTCTTTGGAACTGTCACAGATTATTGCATTGACCAGAGTAGCTAAGTCTTTCATAGTTGATCATTATTAACAGTACTGCTAATACAATGTACTCCTAGTTCTGCTCGCTTTACTTTGCATTGGCTCATATAAGTGTTCCCAGGTTTTTCTGAAACCATCCTCTGTCATTTTTAACAGCACAACAGTATCCCTTCACAACCACATATCATCATTCCCCAATGGATGGGCATCCCCTCAGTTTCCCCTTCTTTGCCACCACAAAATGAGCTGCTATAAATATTTTTACACATATGGGTCCTATTCCTTTTTCTTTGATCTTTTTGGGAAACAGACCTGGTAGTAGTACTGCTTTGCCAAAGGGTATGCATAGATTTATATAGCCCTTTAGGCATAGTTCCAAATTGTTATCCAGAATGGTTAGACCATCTCACAGCTCCATCAACAGCATATTAAGTCCCCATTTTTCCACATCCTTTCCAGCATTTGTAACTTTCATTTTCTGTCATGTTAGCCAATCTGATAGATATGAGGTGGTACCTCAGGGTTGTTTTAATTTACATTTCTCTAATTATTAATAATTTAGAACATCTTAATAGCTTTGATTTCTTTTTCTGAAAGATACTTGTTCATATCCTTTGACCATTTATCAACTGAGGAATGCCTCTTAATTTTACAAATTTGGAGTAGAGAATTGGAGTATTAGAGAAATGAGACCTTTATCAGAAAAGCTTGATATAAAAATTTCCTACCAGTTTCCCATTTTCTTTAAAATTTTGGCTGCATTGGTTGGTTTGTATAAAAATCAAAATTATTCATTTTTTTTGTGTAATCAAAACTATCCATTTATCTCATATAATCCTTTCTCTCTCTCTCTCTCTCTCTCTCTCTCTCTCTCTCTCTCTCTCTCTCTCTCTTTCTCTCTCTCTCTCTCTCTCTTCTCCCTCATGAACTTCCCTTATCCATAGATCTGAAAGGTAATTTTTTCATGCTCCCCTAATTTGCTTATGTTATCACCCACTGTGTCTAAATTACATACCTATTTTGAGCTTATCTTGTTATAGAATGTGAGATGTTGATCCTGACCCCTCTTTTAAAGCCTAACTCAAATGTCACCTCCTCCATAAAATTGTTTCTAAAAGCTCACAGGCCTTCCCATTTATACTTGTTATAACATTCTATTCTACGTCTAATGCAATTATTATGTGTCTGTGTCTTATCCTAGGCTATACGTTCCATGAGGACATGGGCTCTTGGGCTCATAGTACTCTGCATGGAGGAACTTAATAAATGTTTTTTAACTGAACTGAAAATTGGATTTAAGTAACCTCAATCCTAGAAGTCTTCCAAATTCCAGCCCAAACAGGAAGGAACAGCCTACCTCAAAAGATAAAATCTAGAATGTGAGTTTCAAAAAAGAAGGCAGGGGGATAACAATGACTACTACCATTAATAATAACAGCTGGCACTCATAAGGTTCTTTAAGATTTGTAGTGTTTTCATAGGGGGCATCCCAAAAGTCTTAGTGCAGTTTTAAGCTATAAAGCTTAAACTGAGGCAGAGAGAGGTTAAGTGACTTGTCCAGGGTCACACAGCTAGTACCAGGGTCATACCACTAGTAAGAGTCTAAGGCATAATTTGAATTCTGGTCTTCTTGTCTCTAATTCCAACACTCTATCCACTGCAACAGCCTCTTGACTAAGAAAGATTAAGTGGCCTTACTCTGAACATTTTCATGAAAGTACAATGTTAAGTGTTAAGATCTCTATAATTCTGGAATTTCCCTTATCCATTTTAGACCACTTTTTGTTACTTTGTACTCATTAGTAAGAGAAGCCTGTAAAAAAAGAAGAAGAAATACTAAAGATTATGTGCTGATTTCAGGAAGTAAGGCATCTCCTCATCTGCCTTGACACTGTCCCTCTTCTCCCTGTAGAGGTCAGGAAAGCTCCCAAAAGAAACCTTCAGGTACCATACTGCTCACCCACCCCACTCACCCCTCTAATGGGAGTTCTGTCCCACAGCTGAGCTGTCCCATTTGGCAGGTGAGTACAAACTCACCATATTGTAGGTAATGCTTCCTATTCCATTTAGCCATCCACCAAGAAAGTAGTACCTACCTGGGCATCTTACCTATATGCCCTGGCAATACTTCCAAACCCCTAGGTAAATGGTTAACTCTGGGAAGAGTAATCAAATCGATACTACCATTGCTACTGGACAGAATGTGACAATCACCTGCCCTATAGCTTCATTTACAATCCCAGCGACTCACAGCCACATCCCTATGGCTTCCTCAGACTAGAACTCCCTCTCCTGGACACCACTTCCCCCATATGTGCTGTCTCCTCTCTATTAAGCACTGAGGGTAAGAGGCAAAAGGGAGGCAGCCCCTGCCTTCAAGAAGCTTCTAATCTAGCTGGAGGAGAGAGCATGCACATAGATAGATGGGGGTGAGGGGGTGGGCAGCTAAGTGGCTAAGTAGACAGAATCTGGATTTAAGGCCTAGAGGCAGGAAGACTCTTCTTCCTGAGTTCAAATCTGGCCTCGGACACTTATTAACTGTGGGACCTTGGGCAAGTCACTTAATTCCCTCATCTGTCAAATGAGCTGGAGAAAGAAGTGGCAGACCACGACAGTATCTGTGCCA